GCAGTAAGTTGCTCACATGGACATCATCACAACAAATGATCGTAGAAGGCAAATAATTTCACCAAGGTGATTAAAAGAGAGTAGTTCCGTTTAGTAGGCGTATTAAGAAGCATCCGATATATATATATATATATATATATATACATATATATATATATATATATACCTACCACCCCTCTTGAAGATGAACTTGTCTGCGTCTGTGAACAAAGACTTTAAATAGTGGCATGTCAGTTGACATGGAGAAGGCAGATAGACAGAGAGGGTAAGACCTGCGTGTCTAGCTGAGTCGTGATACAGTCTTTGACTGTAAGCGACGTCTGTCGAACTCTCTGCGTTAGCAGAGAGGAACCCGGACGAAGCTTTGCCGAAGGGCAAGGTTTCGTCCGGGAAGGTAGACAAGACCCTGAACCCGTCTAGGCGGGTTCAAAGGCTATATTTTTGGCCGTGCCTACGGGCTCGGGAATACCCACATTAAACCGGCCTTGTGCCATATTCAATCCTCGTGGGTGGATCGATAATTACTAAGACAGATAGACCGAGAAGTTCTTAGCTGAGCTAGTTATTGACTACTCAGGCGATTTCTGTACCTTTTTTACCAACCTATTAAAAACCTTTTTATTGTTACGTGTTATTTGGCGTTTGTCTCTACTAACCCCAAATCAACATCATAACACTTATATTATGGTCCTTCGTAGATACAAATATTTTATGTGCACGTGTATCGACTGCGGAACTGAGATCACAATTAAACACGATTATGGAAATAGCAATAACACATGTCTGCATTTCACGGGCTTCGTTCACGTTTTCTTCTGCAAGAAAACGTTGTTAGCGATGCTGTATTTCAACTGGTATTTACTTAATAAATGCAGCGCCGAATTGAATGACGGGAAATTTCAGTCAGGTAATTCGCATGACTTATTTATACACAAATAGTAATAGTCCGTTGGCAATAGCGGTTTGACAATGACATGACAGATTTCAAAGCCTGATACAAACAAAGCACATATTAGAATAGTACAAGGGAGGGGAGAAAGATGCGGAAACAAGTGAAGGAAGATCATAGCGAGTTATTTGAACAAGTGAGAAAAAGGCTTCGAGACTTTGAAAAATTGGCATTCGAAATGGCAAGCGTCTGCAAACATGTCTTTCTCGCCAACGCAGTATCGCACTTATAATAATAATTCCGATGTTATCCAAAACCAATTCACTGTTTGATATCAAATATGAAATAACATTCTGATGCTTTTATGATTGTAAGACTCTCCCTCTCTTTTTCTCTCGTCTCCCTCACTTTCCCTTGCCGCTCTCTCTCGCTTGCCATATATATATATATATATATATATTAAGAAATGGACAAAGTTAGACAATTTATTTATTAAAGACATTTTTATGTTTAACGTTCTTTTTTTATAGATACAAGTATTTAAGTAAATGCTTTGTTTATAATAAACAGTATTAAATAACATTCAGGCCGGTAAATATTATTTAATACTGTTTATTATAAACAAACATTTACTTAAATACTTGTATCTATAAAAAAGAACGTTAAACATAAAATGTCTTTTAATAAATATATATATATATATATATATATATATATATATATATATATATATATGTATGTGTGTGTGTGTGTATAAGTTGACATTGAGTTCAACAGGAAGCAGTGATAGTTTGTTTCATGTATAAACGAAATCTCCAGGCCATGAAGACAGTATTTCAGTACGAAACACACTATCGCCGTTAGGTGTTAACCTCAATGTCCACTTTTACATTTACATAAGCTCTATCCCTGATGGTAAGCTTTTAACTCATAAATATAGTATAAATTACAACTATATATATATATATATATATATATATATATATATATATATAGGCATACCGTGATATCATGTTGAAACACTTGTTTTCGTATGATCATCGCAGTTGAGCAATATTGCGAATAGTCAATATCTAGCTGGGAATAACAGGTGCTATAAACTTGGGTGTGCGGAGATATAATGGTAAGGGCTCGGAATTGGAAATCGGAGAGTTGTGTTTACAAATTTACAATTTTAACGAAAAAAACAAAAGTGCCTAAAAACCTATTGTCATTGAAAAATACCGATGCTATGCTAAAAACGGATGTCATCATTTGTTGAACAGGTACCCCTACCCTACCTTAACTCAACCTCATTTCGAAAGAAACTCATATTTTGATACAATAGTTGTCAGTGAAAATGAATACCCTACCACCCCCTGTCAAAATGATTGAATCTCCCCGTATCCTTAGCAATTAACATTAAGAATGTGCTTATAAAATCTGACTAAATTTTAAAGTTATTTTAAGTTATTCAAAATTCGCTTGAAATAAAACAGTACTAGGGATTTTAATTTAATTCTATAATTAAATTTGAATGTTTTAGTTTCTGTTTTTGAAACATGGTAATTCCTGTGTAGCGATGGAACCATATTTTTAAATTAGTAAATTTATAATATTTATGATCTGCAGAATTATATTGAGCACTGTTTTTTTTTTTATAAAAATAATTAATAAGAACGCTGTATTATAAATCTTATTGTTCTTTCTCTTTATTTTAATATAATAATAATAATAATAATAATAATAATAATAATAATAATAATAATAGTCAGAGTTGAATTAGACCAGGAAACAGTGGTATTAAAAAGTGCTCAATACACATATAAAAAGATAAAAATTTAGCGTTTAGAGATTTTAATTATAAACAATTAGAAAATGAGCAGATTCCGCTGCCTTGGTTTCAATATATCAGCATCTTCAAGCGATTTCGGTCACTTAATTTCATAACGCGTTATTTAACAAAAAAAAAAAAAAATAGAAAATTAAAATAAATTATGAATTCTATTTTTTTTAATAAATAAATAAATGAGCGTACGACGTGTGGTAAAAGTTGAGGTGGAGGAGTATGACAAGGGGAAAAGTGTATTGAAATGTATCAATGCCGGGGAGGTATGTAAATGAAATATGCATACTTTCTTTTAATCTCACTTCCTATGAAATCAAAAGGAACTTTTTTTTAGTATGAATACGAGTTATAATTTCCGATCTCACATTCAAAAGGTTTGTTTGTCTGCCTCTCCAACCCCCATACATTTCCAATGCACTTACTTTACCCAACTCCTCCTCCTCACCTTCTACAACACCTCACGTCATGCGATAATTCATTTATTTAATTTTAAAAAAATATAGCGTTCATATTTTTTTTTTAATAAAGCGTTAGAAAATCAATTGACCAAAATCCTCTGAAAATACCGAAACCAAGGTAGCATAATCGGCTGATTTCTTAATTATATATATATATATATATATATATATATATATATATATGTAGGTTCTCTTATCGCCCAATTCACGTTCCTCCCGGTCTTATGAACAAGAGTAGAGGATTAGCCTTTTTTACGTATTTAGGTTTATTCTGAATTATTTTCTTTTTCTTCACTCCCCAATCCCAGTAGCTCCTTTGGCTTTAGTAGCATTATTGCCTTCCTTTGAATCAATATATATATATATATATATATATATATATATATATATATATATATATATGAAACAAAAGAATAACAAAAAATACGAGTTCACTATCTTTAAAGCGTAGACCACGACGACACCAGTTAAATACTGAATCTGACTTAACGATTCTTTATTAGCGTGAAACTTGATATACTTCGGTTTTATTTTTATTCTTCATATATCTCACGTTTATACATACATATATATATATATATATATATATATATATATATATATATATATATATATATATATATATATATAAAAGTATATAATTGGTGTAACAAGACATTCAACATCATCGTCAGAGGTGTTGAAACAAAATGGCTAATTTTGTAGTGATTTCATAACATATTTTATAACATATGTATGTTATACTTTTTTAAATAAATAATTATATATATATATAGAGAGATAGATAGATAGAGAGAGAGAGAGTGAGATAGGGAGACTTAAAGATAAAGATTTAGAGAGAGAGAGAGAGAGAGAGAAGGGCGTAATGAGAAAGTTCAAAAGAGAGTGGCTATTGTATCCAAATATTTTCAATCCAGAAATGATTTACCTTATTTTTTCCGAGTATTCATTCTTAATTTGATTGGATGATATTTGTCTACTCAATTAGCGTTAGTAAGAGATTTTAATTAGTAAATTGATTATAAATCAAACATAATTAGCTTTACTAATTATCTTATTTCCCTAATTACCAATAAATTATTATAATGAAATTATTGTATCTATTCGGCCTAGTCTGGGGCTCTTTTGACAATAATTACGACTAATCGAACTTTCTTTTTTTTTTTATCATAAGACTGCTACTTCGCTCGACTGCTATTTTTGACTTTCATTCGATGCAGAATCATTTCAAATCGTTAAGATTCAACGGCTTCCGATTTTGAACAGAAGTTTTCAGTTCATGCCACAAATGCTCGATTGTATTTAGGTCAGTCGATTGAAGAAGTTATTCCATTCCCCTTAACGTATTCTTAAAGCATTTGCAGGTGGGTTTTAGGTCATGAACTAAGATGGTGAATCGATGAATTTACGTAAAAAGCCGAAGCTGGATAACAAATGGTAAAAGATTTTTCTTCAATAGAATAAACTGATATTTTTGCGAAAGCATTTTCCCATCAATCCTGGTTAGTTTCCCGGTACCCGCTGCTCTAAAGTAACCTCATAATATAATGGGTGCTTCAATGATGAGTTCGTGATTTTTATGTTTTTTATTTTTTATTTATTTATTTATTTATTTTTTTTTTTTTTTCGTTAGGTGAGTCTTTTTTATCTCCAAAGGTAGGGTTGCTGGTTATGCCATAGGAGATCAAATTTGATTTCCTTACACTATCAAACAAAGATTATTCAGTAATTTAAAAAGCTGTGATGTGTGGGGGTGTGGTCTGTAATATACTTACCGACTTTCATAAAGAATTTACAATCCAAATTTCAAAAGGCCGGGAAAGTATCACATTGTTTCCGTAACGATTCGATCTCTCATCCCAGAATTGCAAACGGGAATGTTGTTCTGCTGATCTGAAAGAGAGATGTCGATGTTCATGTTACGTACATGACCAGTATTGATATTTTCACACTGATATCTTGAAGGGCGAAGACGAAGATAGATAGATAGATAAATAGATAGATAGATAGAAAGAAAGAAAGAAAAAAAGAAAGAAAAGGAAGAAATAGAGTTACAGAAACATATAGATATATTGAGTATATTTTCATTGATTGAACCGTGTAATGCCTATTGCCATATCACACTGAAGCTCCAATTCACGTACACTCACAGAAGTTAAGCTGTCTGGTCATTGCTTAGAGAGGTGACCGCTTGGGAATAACGTGTGATGTTAACTTGAATGTCCTCTTGGTGTAATAGATAACGGCTTCCATTTGAAAAAAGGAGAGCCGAGTTCCAATTCCAGCCACGTTCGTGACATTCACTTATGTGCAAATACCCTTTGGAAATGTATGAATTTGCCTTTTTTTTCCTGGCTATGCGTTAAGGAGTAGAAATTGTATTTAAAAATTCTTACAACTTAAAAATATTTTACTGGCAGAATATTGACAAGCCGTAAAATAAACAACCAATCACAAGCGAGAAGCGTGGGAGACGGAAATCTTGGTATAGAACTTTTCAAAAATATCATCTCACAACAAAGAAAGCACAAATGACGCTATGAAGCAAGGGGGTATGGAGAATTCGAGAGTATGAAGAAAAATGAAAAATACTATAAAGCCAAGATAATAATAATAATAATAAAAACAAGAATTAAGAAGATAATGATTAACGTTAAATTTGAATTTTTGAAGATCAATGTTAACAGGAAAGTTAGAAGCCGGGAGATAATTCCACAGGCGTGTAGTGCGATAGAAGACATTGTTAGCAAAGAAAATACGGTTACATCTAGCCATTAAAATGATGAAACCTGGCTGCCAATCTAGTACTGCACTCATATTCACAAAGTCTAGGTACGGTAAAGGAAAGTTTGACACAACAATTACCATGATCTAACTATATCTACGGTAAAATTATGAGACCTAGCTGCCAATCAAGTACTCTGCTTAAATACATGACGCTGAAGTACAAAAGAGGGCTGTTTATAAAAATATATAAAAAATATTAATTTTAAAAAAAAGCACTTCCAAGCTACGTTAGCGCAGTTGGAATGTGACATGAGCCTACATGCCATATCAGTACAATGAATAAACTTCTTTGGATTTTATAAAAATTATGTAGATATATAGCAAAGGTGGCAGTTATATTTTATATTATGAGGCTGAGAAGGTGCAGTACGCTGCTCACATGGATATCATCACGACAAATGATCGTAGAAGGCCAATAATTTTTCCAAGGTGATTAAAAGAGAGTAGTTCCGTTTGGTAGGCGTGTTAAGAAACATCCGATATATATATATATATATATATATATATATATATATATATATATATATAATAAATATATATATATATCCCAGAATAAATCCTAAGGATCCAGGCCTATCTATGTATCTTCAGGGTAAACTGGAGCCAGTTTACCCTGAAGATCCGTTTATTTGAAACCTCGGTAGGTTTGCCTGGATCCTTAGGTTTTAATCTAATTTATCGATCCACTTAGCGTATTGAGCATTCTACGTTTTTGTTTTCTACTCGTTTGGATTTTTTTCTTTGGACTAAAGACTTAAAAAACTTGGTGATTTGTTTCGTCTTGTTGTAATGTTTTGGAAAACATATATATATAGCTTAAGAAAAACTAGGTAATCCGTATGGGTAGACCCAAGGAGGATAAAATCCAGAGAGCTCAATGTAAATCCAGAGCAAATAATTTAAATAAAAACAGACCACTTTAAGGTTCCATGTAATAAATTATTTCACCACAGCCCTTTTAAATGGACTGAGGATCATCAGACTTTACTTCCAAAGATTGAAACAAAAAATGTAAAGAAATTTACACATTTTTGACGGGCCGTATTAAGCATATGTAAATTAACGAAGTGAGGAAGTGAGGGGAGAGAGAGAAGACATGAGTGAGTTAAATGTAATTTAATATTTCTTTTCTTTCATACTTAAAATTAATGTGTCAATGTCTGGACCTCCTCAAGTAATTTTAAGTATGAATGTGTGTGTGTGTGTGTGTGTGTGTGTGTGTGTGTGTGTGTGTGTGTGTGTGTGTGTGTGTGAATGTGTATATCACGTTGAAATATCGATTTCTGTGCGATCTCCGAAGTTAAGCAATATCGATCATTGTCAGTATCTAGATGGGTGAAGAAGTAGGAATATCAAATACTGAAAGCACGGATGTGTGTGAGGCGTTGATATTCACGTTACGTGACCGCCAGTGACATTTTCATATTGACAAAAGGGCGAAGCCGGAAATAGATAGATAGATAGGTAGAATGATATATTAAATATAGTTTTATTTATTAAACAGTGTATTTCATACAGCCATATCACGTTGAAGCACCAGTTCTTATGCGGTCAGCGAAGATAAGCAACGTCGATACTAGTCAGGGCCTGGAAGGGTGACCGCTTGGAAATACCAGGTGATGTAAGCGTGGATGTGCGGGTGGTGTAATGGATAACGGCTTGGAATTGGAAATCGGAGAGCCGAGATCCAATTTCAGTCGGGTTTGTTATATTCACTTACGCACAAATTCCAGTGGGAAATGAATGAATCAATCTTTTCTTCCCCAGCTATGGGTTAAATAGTAGGACGAGTTAATAAATCATTTTATCTCAAAAACATTCTTAGAAATATTTTCTGGCTTTAAATAACATGCAAAACGTCGATAAACCTTAAAAAACAAATCTTTTTTTTTTTAAACAAATCAAGCAATCAATTACGCACTAACACGCACACATATGCGTCATGGGTATGTCGATAAACTACATCCGCGTCCTGGTTATGGCGATAAACTACATCCGCGTCCTGGTTATGGCGATAAACTACATCCGCGTCCTGGTTATGGCGATAAACTACATCCGCGTTCTGGGTATGACGATAAACTAAATCCAACAGCAAGGCCTCAGATAAAGTTTTCGGTAAAATAATGTTGCCAGCTATACGTTTTTGAAACAATAATGTTGCCACCTATACTTTTTTGAAACCATAATGTTGCCAGCTATACGTTTTTGACTTTTAAAGTCACTCAAAAGCATAAAGTGACCACTAAGGTTGAGATGCCGTTAAACAAAACAATCAACAATCAACAATCAAATGGAAATTCTTGACTTAAACAAAAAATACCTAGGATTATTTTGCATCGTGAAAGCAAATAAGCTCTAGCTTACTAAAAATGCTCCATACAAAATAGGCATTTAAAATTCATATATTTGGCATATATATATAAATTGGATTTGGCATTAAATAACCCACAGTGGTTGATATGCCATAAACCCAAACAAACAAACGCACACATACCCTGTATCTGTACGATTACCATTAAGTCTTACAGCTAATATTTAACTTATTTTACATTCTTGACAATGCACTTAATACTTAATCGAATATTAATCAGATGCATTGAACAATATACAGGGAAAATTTCAGCTTAGACTTTATGTGATAACCACATTTCAGTTTGAGAACTTCTTGACGTGACATCGTCTTCGTGTGTATGCCTATGTAAAAGTACGTATAAACGCACTCACATATACATACACACAGGCATGTGTAAATTTGTGTGTGTGCATATATTTATTTTGTGCGTGTGTACGCGTGTGTGTGTGTGAGAGAGAGAGAGAGAGAGAGAGAGTAAGTATTAGTTCAGTGTCTAGCATTATATTTCCTACCTAACTTGCAGCCCGTTCCCACGCTCTGGAGACGGATTGGCCGGCGCCACTCACTGTTTCCATTGCCTGCGGATATGCTACCTGAACACTTCCGGTAATTTGTGCGTCGGTGTGGCTGTACTACAGGTAGGACTACATGAGCAACACCCATTTTCTCCCCCTTGCTCGTCACTCCTTTCGAACGAAAAGACTAAACGCCTGCAGAAGACTGAATACAGAACATATTCATGTGCATATATATATATATATATATATATATATATATATATATATATATATATATATATATATATATATATATATATATATATATATAAATAAACTAAAATATATAGACAGACAAATATATATATATATATATATATATATATATATATATATATATATATATATATATATATATATATATATGCATGAGTCTGTGCATGTATATATGTGTTTGTATATGATTACTTACACAAATAGTATTATTATTATATAAAACAAACACCACAGGCACTTCGACGTGCTGTAATGGTTAGGAAGAGTCTCTCCTTAAATCAATAACGATTGGGTAGTGAGTTCGATCCTTACTCGGGGATTATACTTTCGGCTTTGTTTTTACATATAAGCTACGTTTGAAAATTCATATATATATATATATATATATATATATATATATATATATATATATATATATATGTGTGTGTGTGTGAAAATATAAATATAAATAAATTTATATATGTATAATTATTTATATATTATATGCGCGGTTTATTAGAAAGCGCTCAATATCAGAGATAGAGCTAACAGAAAGAGAAACATTATCTGTTTTAATCCACCATATAACAAAACCGTTAAAACGAACATAAGCAAAATATTCCTAAACTTAATAGAAAAACACTTCACTGAAGAAAACAAATTATCAAAAATATTTAACAAAAATAACTTAAACATCAGTTACAGCTGTACAAAAAACATAACAGAAATAATCAAAAGCCACAACAAAAAAATGACAACCTACAAAAATGTAACCAAGGATCCAATATGCAACTGCAGAAACAGAACAACATGTCAACTCCAGGGAAATTGCCAACTTACGAACACTATATACATGGCCAAGGTAAGTACAAACAACAACACCATGCACTACATCGGTGCTACCGAAGGTCCATTCAAAATGAGGAATAACAATCACAACCTTTCATTCAACAACAGGAAATATTCGAACAGCACAACACTTTCTACATACATATGGCAGCAAAAAGACAAAAACATCACACCAACAATAAGTTGGGAAATATTGAAAAAGCCCCTGCCTACAACAACATTACAAAAAAAAATGACTACTTTGCCTACACGAAAAAGTAGCAATAATATCCACACAAACCGCAAAAGAACTTACTAAAAAAAAATCAGAGATAATCTCCAAATGTAGGCATGAGAACAAGTACCTAACATCCGAAATCATACCAA